ATATTTTACTAAACATTACGCCTATAAAACAGAATTAGTTATTAATTAATAACATTGTTATATTTGCCATTATTATTATTTCCTTTAGTAAAAGCTCACCCATTTTTAACTATTTAATATTTGAAAATTAATATTTGAAAATTTGAAAATTTGATAATTTGAAATTATAGAATGAATTTATTTTTTTAAGATCTGTTTTAAAAGAAATTTTTTTTATATAAATTTTTTTTGTGTTATTCAGTTTTTGTGGTCTGAAATATGTCAAATAATTACTCAATGTGAAGATGCGAGAATGCAAGAATAATGACAACTGTAATGTTAAAGCGTAATGAACCATCATATAGAAAGGATAATTAATAAATAAACAATAGTCAATTGGGAAAAATAGATGTATTAAAAAAAGCCATTCAATAATTAAAATGATATTTTCATCGCTTGCCACCTCACCATCATTAATAGCAATAATGAAATCCCTGAATGAAATGAATGGATCAGCAAAATCTAATAAAAAGTCAACACAACGTAAAGATTTGTAATAAGCACATTTGGTTAATCGTTGTCCAGGATTTCTAGTCTATGATTGCTTTTAATGAAATTAGTAACATTGAATCAATAAATCCTAATTAAAGCTTTTTTGTTTATTAGCCGAAATTGTTTATGTACATAAAATAGCTACTACTACGTTATTTGGGAAATATATTGTAGATAATTTCGGCTATTTGTTACTATTAATATTAATTTGGTACTATTTCAGCATTTTCGTATTCGGTGATGATCATTGTTTCTTTTTTTTTGCGTAACAAATTTTTGATCCAAGTGTAGATCAATTTATTCTATTTTTAGATTTACGAAAATTATTCTTTTATCAAGAAAACAGGGTCTAATATTTTCATCAACTATAATTTATATGTGGGGCATGCTGCAACAAACCAGACAAAGTAAACATTGGTATTACCAAGAATTCCAGGGATCAATATTATTTATTTAATATCACAATTACATTACCAATGCAATGTGATCAATGATATTTGTCTAGACAAAAATAGTTAATATGAAGTTAATTTACATTCGGTCTACTATGGAACCAGTGTTGTGACCTGAAACTCTGAGTTTAGGGAAAACCAGAAACAGAAACTAACAGAAACCACCCGAAACTAGTTTA